ATGTGCTACTTGACTTTCTATCTACAGCGAGCTACAGCAAGGCTGAAGAAATCCACCAGAGGGCCTCTTCTGAACAGGTAAGCGTGATGTTTATACAGTCAGAATAAGATGACGTTAAAAAGGCACAAAGAGTCAGAGGCCTGAAAGACTGCTGACATTTAATGTAGCACAGCATAGTCTAAGATCATGATGCTGTAGGACAGCCATCAGTATAAACTGCCTTCACACGTACAGAGTGAGACTGCAGTTTGTTGTTTTTCTTTAACGGTTATCATCTGTTCATGGACCCACATTAAGCTGACCTTTTGCAGTACAAATAAAACAGGTGGCGCACATTCACACATCCTCACATACACTACAGACCAGGGCACCGCTCTCTCTCTCTGTGGGGTACTCGGTGGTTCTGATCAGGATGTCAATGAATTGACACGAGTCTGGATGTTTTGGTTCTTTGGAGTCCAAACCTTAAGAGCTGGATCATGACATCAACATCGATTTAGGCTTAATCCAATTATTGAGCTCATTTTCAGATACAAATGCGTCATTTTATTCACTGAAATGAAACGATCATCGTGTAATCATGAGTATCTGTTGATGTGATTATCTTACGTGTGCTATACTTGATCACTAACGAACGCTAAAACTGATGAACCACTGAAAGCAATCCAAGCACTCTACCTTCATTTAACGACAACTTCACCCACGATCAGTCCTCAAACAGACTGGGTGAGAATAAACAGGCCTGATGTCGGCCGGATCTGCTTGGATTAGTTCCCCACATGTTAGAAGAACAGGGCCCTGGTCAGCAGTTATCATCGTAATAAGCTTCATTATACAGTAATCTGTAGTGGATAATTAGCCCGTGTGCACATACAGAATGATGGTGATGGTGGATTAGATGTGCTCCTCACAGGTCCTTCTCTCCTCGTGAGCTGCTGCTGTAGCCTTTATTCATACGAGCTGTGTTCCCCCTCTAAGCATGTATCTGTTGCCACTGATGGTACCAGACAAGTCCTGAACTCAGGCTAAACTCTGCTTTAGAAACTGTTTAATGGACTGGGGCAAAGATTTAAAACGAGTTTGGAACTGCTTCAAGTCTTGGTTCTTAATGAGTTTGTGAAGATTCTCAGTCATCCAGGTCATGGTTGTTCTTGTAGAAACTGGACTTGCTTGAGTTTCTTGAAGACGTTTCACCTCTCATCCAAGAGGCTTCATCAGTCTTCAAGAAACTCAAGCAAGTCCAGTTGCTACGATTACACTACGAGAATTCTTAATGATAAATGACACACGGTGGTGGAGGGCTTCAAGAGGGACCCGGTGTTGAAATTATGCATCAGTTTTGCTAGTCGAAGTCCTCGACTTCAAAGACCACCCTACAAGGGCAGTACTGCACAAGCTCGGCGGTATTGTTCACGTACCGAATACGTCCTCCAATAGACTACAAAGTACTTTGTTGTGGTGTCTGCAAGGGAGTACAATCAAGGCTTATCCACTCCCTTGTCGACCCAAGAACGCCACTGTCCTGGCACGAGAAATCAACCGAGTAGCTCGCATGGACTCTCACAAACTTTGAGATGAGGAAATTTACATCACAACAGCATCTTAAGCTGAGAATAAAGCCTTGATTACACTCCTTAGTGGACCAGTAGCTGTCCATCAAGCACACGCTGGTATTCTCTTACTTTCGATAAATGTGCAGTAGATCAAGATCTATTCCTACCGAGCATGTGCGCTACCGTCCTTGTAGCGTTGTAGCCACGGAGAAAAACTTTGGGCTACACTCGAAATCCAGTCAAGGAATTTGTACGAATTCAGCGGTTTGGGTAGACGACAAAATTTAAATGTAAAAAAGTCAGTCAGACCCTCGTGAATGTAACACTGGAGCCGTGTTTCCATATATAATCGTCAAGCAGACCTGAAATTAACTTTTGTAATGTGGCACAAAAAATCTTTATTATACTCTGGTGCAGGCTTCCGTGGATGCGCCGTTTTTATACTTGTTTTAGCCGGTTGAAGTCTGTTTGGAAGACTCTCTTGCAGCGTTGCCTTCGAGGCTTCCCAAGTTTTTAGCAAGATTTGCTTTTGGCCCGTTTCCATTAACTGCTTTGGAGCGAATAAATTAGGCAGCACAGACTAACGTTATTAAACGGAGTAAAAGAGGCTGGAAACAAAATGTGTTATTGCTAAAAACCTCAAAGAAAATCGAACGAACAAAACTTTGGCCATCTACAAAACAAAAATTAACTCTTCGGGAGTTGTTTTCAATGTTGTAATTGTTCGTTAATGTCAGCTGGTATCGGCCAACGAAGGCAACCAAAAGAAGCTATATGTTAACTACTTACTTAGAAAAGTGTTTCCATCTGATTATGTGCATTAACTCCTCAAGCAAGTGTCAAAACTGTTTTTTGTAAAATTGCGTTTCACGTTTTTTTCAAATTTTGCCATTTCTAATCACTTTTTCAGATGCGATGCTTCAAAACGTGCCTAAAAAATATGACGTGGCAACACGGCTACTGACAAGGAAGTAACTTTAGCATCCTTTGATCTAAGCTTTATTAGCACTCAGATTCAGTCAGAGCAGTTTGAATGGTTTCAATTTATTTTCTACTACAATTTGCCCCCAGATCAGATCACAAACACAGTGTGTTCCCTCCCAAAGGAAACCGTAGACTTGATTTGCTTCTCAGATCCCTTTTGTTTTTATGAATGTCTGATAGCGACATTAGAAAGCAAATAAGGAAGAAAACAAAATTTCTTAGACACTCAAGACTTGTTAGTACAACGTATGATGATAGCAAGTGTGTTAGCTCATATACTCTTAATGCATCTGTTGAGGTGCGATATATCGAGATGAATGAGAAAAGGCAGTTGCATGGACAGATTTATATGCGAACACCCGACGAGCGTGGGCGTTTTATCGGCTTCGTTTTGTAGTCGACGAGCTCTCATCCAACCTCATTGGTTGGACCACCATTGGTGCTACGTCCATGATTGATCTATTATTTCTGGTGGCAGGAAGAACAGACACTGCTGGAACGAACTCATTTAGCATTAACTTCAAACTGGTGCGGCTGCATTTTGTTGTATCGCAGCTCAACAACCAACATCTAAAAACAGTAACTTGGGGCTGGTGCAGGAGTCTGTTCGTATCGTTTAAGTATAAAACAGCCACGTTAAACGACTTCATATGCTGCCAGTGCTAGCTTCTCAAGTTTAGTTAGAATTCATTTGGGCTAATAAGCCCAGCAGGTGCAGCAGCACACTCACTGGCTGATTTAGTTCGTCAAGAGAAAACTCGATGGTATATTTTTTTCCTTCGCAGCTAATCAAGTATGATTTCTGTCTACTGTGATTTTCTTTGGCTGAATTCTGCCCCACAGTGGGTCAAATATTGGAAAGTATGGAAAACTGCCAGCATAAATTTTAAAGCATTTTTCTTGTTGTTGTTGTTGCAGTTTTTGTAATCTACGGATGACCTCAGTGAACATGTGGTTGCTTCCCTCTACCGTCGTTTACGATCGCAGGACGAGCTCCTCGTCTCGTCGATGTGCCGCTTCCACGGTAGGTATTTATTGGTAGTGTTAATTAGCACCAGAAGCTAATAGACAAAATGGTTTCCTTAACTTAAAAATAGGCAGGCGCAGCGTTTGCAGGGGTCCCATGAGGGGGGCAAGTAACAGAAGCAGAGCAACCAGAGACTTGTTTGTCAGTTTAGTTCCGCCTGATAGACCCCAACCTCCCCCCCCGACAACACCCGGCAACATCATGTCAGACACATACATAAAAAAAAAAAAATAGGAAGGGAGGGAAGGGGGCAGCACGGTCCAGTCCATCTGCCAATTTCATTCTTGGACGTACATGAGTGAGGCTTACAGAGGAACACACAAGCAGTTACACGCACACTGATAATGTTGTCGAAGTGCAGTGAGGAGAATGTGCTTCCGTACAATCCGGCTACAGCATTAACAAACTTAGAGAATGCAAAGATCGATTTTTCTTTTCTT